GTTTCTCTCGAAAATAGAATTTTGTTTGTAATAGGGGTTTGTCCACTCATTAATTGGTATATGAAATTTAAATAAATTACCTATTGGAAAATTAGAAATGATGTCCATGTATCATGAAAATTGTTTTAACTTAGATTAATACAAATTTATAATGTGCTTAGGTAATTTATGATCAAAAATAAATAGCTTAAACTTCTGAATATAACATTTATTGATAATCTCGATTTTTTCATAGGGGTTAACCCACATATTTTGAGAAAACTGAGAAAAAATGAAAATTTTATTTTGATGCATCTTTGCAGCATGCAGTGACATAGTATAAACGTTAAAGAGGTTTGAGACCTTAGGTGTTCATGTTTCTCTCAAAAATTGAATTTTGTTTTTATAGGGGTTTGTCCAAGATTAAGTGGTATATGAAATTTAAATAAATTACCTCTTGAAAAATTAGAAATGATGTTCATGTACCATGAAAATTTGTTTAACATAGATTAATAAAAATTTAGAATGTGCTTAGGTAGTTGTTGATCAACAATAAAGAGCCTAAACTTCTGAATAAAACATTTCTTGAAAAACTTGATTTTTTCATAGTGGTTATCTCACATATTTTGAGAAAAATAAGAGAAAATTAAAATTTTATTTTGATGCATATTTTCATCATGCAGTGACATAGTACGAAGGTTAAAGAGGTTTTAGACCTTAGCTGTTCATGTTTCTTTAGAAAATTGATTTTTTTTATAGGGGGTTTGTCCACTGATTAAATGGTATATGAAATTTTAATAAGTTACCTATTGGAAAATTAGAAATGATTTTCATATACCATGAAAATAGTTTTAACATAAATTAATACAAATTTAGAATGTGCTTATGTATTTTTTAATCAAAAATAAATAGCCTAAACTTCTGAATATAACACTTATTGAAAAACTCAATTTTTTCATAGGGGTTGACCCACATATTTTGAGAAAAATAAAAAAAATGAAAATTTTATTTTAGTGCATCTTTGCATCATGCAGTGACATAGTATGAAGGTTAAAGATATTTGAGACTTTAGGTGCTCATGTTTCTCTCGAAAATAGAATTTTGTTTTTATAGGGGGTTTGTCCACTGATTAAGTGGTATATGAAATCTAAATAAATTACCTTATCGATATTAGAAGCGATGTTAATGTAGCATGAAAATAATTTTAGCATACATTAATATAAATGTAGAATGTAATAAAATTCTTTTAATCAACAATAAAGAGTCAAAACTTCTGAATATAGCATTTATTGAAAAATTTGACTTTTTCGTAGTGGTTAACTCACATATTTTGAGAAAAATATGAAAATATGAAAATTTTGTTTTAAAGCATCTTTGCATCATGCAGTGACATAGTATGAATGTTAAAGAGGTTTGAAACCTTAGCTATTCATGTTTCTCCAGAAAATTGATTTTTTATAGGGGGTTTATCCACTAATTAAATGGTATATGAAATTTAAATAAATTACCTGTTGGAAATTAGAAATAATGTTCATGTACCATGAAAATAGTTTTTAACATACATTAATACAAATTTAGAATGTGCTTAGGTAAATTTTTAATCAGTAATAAAGAACCTAAACTTCTGAATATAAAATTAATTGAAAAACTCAGTTTTTTCATCGGTGGTAACCCACATATTTTGAGAAAAATAAGAAAATATGAAAAAAAAAATTAATTCATATTTGCATCGTTTAGTGACATAGTATGAAGCTTAAAGAGGTTTGCGTCCTTAAAGAGGTTTTACTCATTGGAAAATTAGGAACGATGTCCATGTCTCATGAAAATAAGTTTAGTATACATTAATATAAATTTATAATGTGATTAGTTAATTTTTATTCAAAAATAAAGAGCCAAAAGTTCATCTAACAACATTTATCGTAAAACTTGATCTTTCCGTAGGGGTTAACCCATAGATTTCAAGATAAATTAGAAAAACTATGATTTTTATTTTAATGCGTAGAGACATCATGCTCTGACATTTTATGAAGATTTAATAAGTTTGAGACTTTAGGTGTTTTCGTATCTCCCAAAAATAAGGTTTTATAGGGTTTAATTTATTACTTAGGTGGTATATGAAATTTAAATAAATTACTTATAAGAAAATTAGAAACAATGCCCATGAACCATGAAAAAAGTTTAGCATATATTAATATAAATTTAGAAAGTGATTAGTTATTTTTTAAACAAAAATAAAGAGCCTAAAGGTCGTCTTACAGCATTTATCGTAAAATTCGATCTTTTCGTAAGGATTAACCCACAGATTTCAAGATAAATTAGAAAATCTTTTATTTTTATTTTACTGCGTAGATGCATCATGCACTGACATATTATCAATACTAAATAGGTTTGAGACTTTAGGTGTTTCCGTATCTAGAAAAAAATAAGGTTTTATAGTATTTAATTCATTGATTAGGTGGTATATAAAATTTAAATAAATTACTTATAAGAAAATTAGAAACGATGATCATGTACCATGAGACAAGTTTAGCATACATTATTATAAACTTAGAATGTGATTGGTTATCTTTTAATCAAAAATAAATAGCCTAAAGTTCATCTTACAACATTTATCACAAAATTTGATATTTTCGTAGGGGTTAACCTACAGTATTCAAAAAAAGAAGAGAAAAATCTATTAGTTTTATTTTCATGCATAATGGCATCATGCACTGACATATTATGAAGATTAAATAGGTTTGAGACTTTAGGTGTTTCCGTATCTCCAAAAAGTAGAGTTTGATAAGGTTTAATTCATTGATTATGTTGTATATGAATTTTAAATAAATTACTCATTGAAAAACTAGGAATGATGTTCATGTACCATGAAAAATAAATGTAATATACATTAATAGAAATTTACAAATTTAATTAGTTAATTTTTATTCAAAAATAAAGAGCCTAAAGTTCATCTAACAACATTTATCGTAAAATTCGATCTTTTCGTAGGGGTTGACCCATAGATTTCAAGATAAATTAGAAAATCTATTATTTTTATTTTAATGCGTAGAGACATCATGCACTGACATGTTATGAAGATTAAATAGGTTTGAGACTTTAGGTGTTTCCGTATCTCTAAAAAATAAGGTTTTATAGGATTTAATTCATTGATTAGGTGGTATATTGAATTTAAATAAATTACTTACAAAAAAAATTGAAACGATGCCCATGTACAAACAAGTTTATAATACATTAATATAAATTTAGAATGTGTTTAGTTATTTTTTAATCAAAAATAAAGCGCCTAAAATCTTACAGCATTTATCATAAAATTTGATCTTTTCGAGAAAAAATAGAAAATCTATTTTATTTTAATGCATAGAGGCATCATGCACTGACATATTATGAAGATTAAATAGTTTTGAGACTTGTGGTTTTTCCGTATCTCCAAAAATAGAGTTTTATAGGGTTTAATTCATTGATTAGGTGGTATATGAAGTTTAAATAAATTACTTACTGGAAAACTAGGATCGATATCCATGTGCCATGAAAATAAATTTAGCATACATTAATATCAATTTAGAATGTGATTAATTATTTTTTATTCAAAAATAAAGAGCCTAGAGTTCGTATTACAACATTTATCATAAAATTTGATATTTTCGTATGGGCTAACCCACATATTTCAAAAAAAAATTATAAAATCTATTAGTTTTATTTTAATGCATAAATGTATCATACACTGACATATTATGAATATTAAATAGGTTTGAGACTTTAGGTTTGTAGGGTTTAATTCATTGGTTAGGTGGTATATTAAATTTAAATAAGTTACTCATTGGAAAATTAGGAACGATGTCTATGTACCATGAAAATAAGTTTAGTAAACATTAATATAAATTTAGAATGTTCTTAGTTTTTTTTTATTCGAAAGCCTAAATTTCATCGAAAAACATTTATCGTAAAATTCAATCTTTTCGTAGGGGTTAACCCATAGATTTCAAGATAAATTAGAAAATCTATTAATTTTGTTTTAATGTGTAGAGGCATCATGCACTGACATATTATCAAGATTAAATAGGTTTGAAACTTTCGGTATTTCCGCATCTCCAAAAAAATAAGGTTTTATATGGTTTAACTCATTGATTAGGTGGTAAATGAAATTTAAATAAATTACTTATAAGAAAATTAGAAATGATGCCTATATGCCCTGAAACAAGTTTAGTATACATTAATATAAATTTAGAATGTGATTAGTTATTTTTAATCAAAAATAAAGAGCCTAAAGTTTATCTTACAACATTTATTGTAAAATTCGATATTTTCGTAAGGGTTAACCCACATATTTAAAAAAAAAATTAGAAAATCTATTAAGTTTATTTAATGCATAAATTCATGCACTGGTATATTATGAATATTAAATAGGTTTGAGACTTTAGGTGTTTTTCGTATCTAAAAAGATAAGGTTTTATAGGGTTTAATTCATTGATTAGGTGGTATTTGAAATTTAAATAAATTATTTATAAGAAAATTAGAAACAATGATCATGTACAATGAAACAATTTTATCATACATTAATATAAATTCAGAATGCGATTGGTTATTTTTAATCAAAAATAAAGATCCTAAAGTTCATCTTACAACCTACAGATTTCAAAAAAAAATTAGAAAATTTAGTAATTTTATTTTAATGCATAAAGGCACCATGCACTGACATATTATGAAGATTAAATAGGTTTGAAACTTTATGTGTTTCCATATCTCCAAAAAATAGAATTTTATAGAGTTTAATTCATTGGTTATGTGGTATATAATATTTAAATAAATTAGTTATTGAAAAATTAGAAACAATGTCCATGTACCCATGAAACAAATTTAACATACATTAATATAAATTTAGAATGTGATTGGTTATTTTTTAATCAAAAATAAAGAGTCTAAAGTTCATTATAACATATATCATAAAATTCAGTTTTTTCATGACAAGAACATTCTCTAGCCTAATACCAAGGTTCCCATCGCAGCGTTTGAACTTTGAACAAAACATATGAAACTGAAATTAGAAAATAAAAAGAACACACAATAATCTTTTATTTTATACGATTCACATTTTTAGAAAATAACCAAAGAGACAATAAGAAGAAAAAGAAGAGCATGTACACACAACCATTAACGTAAGAACCTTATGATAGGTTCAATGTTGTTCTTCCGATAATGGCTAAATTCAAAACACTCGGAAAAAAAAATGGATGGAATTGAATAAAACAAGAGAAAAACAAAGAAGTCATCAAGGGCTCAAGGTTGTGCAAGTCTCTTGACTATTGTAGCCATGTAGTTTCCTTGATGTTCAGCAAGAGCTAGTTCTGTCTCTGTAGCTTCTCTTGACCCATCACCAGCGAACACACCGGCTCCATAAGGTGAGCCTCCACGGATCGAGTCCATCTTGAACATTCCTGCTCCAAATGTGTAGCCTATGGGAACAAATAGCATCCCGTGGTGTACAAGCTGTGTGATTGCTGTCCATCTGCAAGACAAACACATCATTTGTTTCAGAGATTGACACTAAAAATAGCAGAATAAAAAAACCTATTAGTTGTACACTTGTTAAGATCTGCAAGAGCCATGTGAAGTAAGAAATCACATTGTTTATGCTACTCTATATTGTCTTGTTAGCTTATCAGTACAAGAAGATATTGCAAAGATATTTGTTCAAAGGAACCAAACTATCACATAAGCCAAGTAACAAAAAAAGAAGGGAATATATTCCATATAACTTGAAAATAAATCAGATTAACAGAATTAAAGATTCCACACTGTGAATGCAAATAATGAAAGAACAATTAAAAATCTATCGCAATTATGCAATTTACAGGAGGCAACACTCTCATGTCTAGAAATTTAGAATCAATTCTTATAAAGTTCATTTCACAGAATCAAAATCTAATAAAGTTTTCATTTTTACAGTACTATCCTACCAACATAGAGAACAGTTTACAAAATGGTGATCAGATCCAACTGAGTTCTAAAACAAAAACCTTTATTAAGATTCCACCATAGACTATAAACTCAACTGTACTAAACAAAGTCCTGACCACAACAAACATTAAGTTCATGTCTTTCTGTAATTTCACATTTATTTCAGATAATACCTCAACCAAAAAGACAAAAGCTTTGAATGATGCTTGTACTCCAAAGTCAACTACTTTACTTCCACTTTCAAACCAAAACAAGAACTAAGCCATACAATTCATGACCATAACAAACATTAAGTTCATGTCTTCCTGTAATTTCACATTTATTTCTGACTAAATCAAAAAGACAAAAGCTTTGAATGATACTTAGTACTCCAAAGTCAACTACTTTACTTCCAATTTCAAACCAAAACAAGAACTAAGCTTCATGACCATAACAAACTTTTCAGACAAAACATGAAAAGTTCATGTCTTTCTCTAATTACACATTTATTTCAGACAATACCGCAAACAAAAAGAAAAGAACTTTAAATTATACTTAGTACAGTCCAAAGTCAACTACTTCACTTCTACTTTCAAACCAAAACAAGAACTGAAAAAAAAAGCAAGCTTACGCAGTAGTCTCTTGTCCACCTCCTTGAGTCCCCGTACTCACGAAAAACCCAGCAGGCTTCCCCGCCAATCTCTGCTCCTTCCACAACCCTCCCGTAGAGTCAAAGAAAGCTTTCATCTGCGCCGCCATACACCCATACCTCGTCGGAAACCCAAACAAAAACCCATCAGCCTCCGCCAACTCATCCGCCGTTATCTCCGGGATCATCTCCAAATCCTTCTCCGGCGCCTTCATCTGCTCAAGAATCTCCGAGGAAAGCGTCTCCGGCACTCTGTACAGCTTCGCCTCCACTCCTTCGACCTCGTCTGCTCCCTTCTTCATCCTCTTGGCTAAGCTCTCCACGTGTCCGTACATCGAGTAGAACACGATGAAGATCTTCAGCGGCGGAGGGACGGTGATCGCCGGTGTTGTTGTTCCCGTCGCCGTCGCCGTTGTCGTTTGATCGTCCTCGATTGGGATCGGAGCATTGGCTGCGCCGTCGTCGATTCTATCGGCGGAGGTGGTGGCGGCGAGAGAGGACGGCTTCTTCTTCTTGCTGGGAACGCATCCGCCTCCTTTCCCCATCTCGTGATAATCTCCCGATTTTCCGACAGATAAATCAAAATTAAATTTTGAAAATAAAAATAAAAAAACAAAACTAATCAATAGTTTGGTAATGATACGCAGTTAATAGTGGGGGTTAAGTGAAGATTTAACAGACACAGAATCAAAGTCAAAACGTCGCCGTTACGGGTCAATATTTAAGATGGGTCAAATCATAGTGGACTATTGGGCTTTATATATATTAGCCCGTTATGTTTTACAAATAAAAAGCCAAGGTTATGATTGAGCTTTATATTTTTAGCATGATAATGATAAACGATAGAAGCCTAGGTTAAATTCATATTGGGCTTATTATTGTTGTTGATACTTCTATAAATTAGGCAATAACTAGCAAGTATAGATACTAGTATATAGTTTGTAGGATAAGAACAAGTAGGTAAGTGGTATCTGACTTCTGTTGTATTTGTCATCAAGATTTTCATCTACTTTGTTATTCGGATTAGTTTGAGTTGCTACTCACTAATCCTTTATTCTAGATTGAAACTACATAATCGACCATTAATAAATTTAAAGTATAGCTTAATTATATGTTTCGTTTGACAGTATAGATTTTATTATATGTGCCTAAAAGTTCTAATGCTCATAATTTTTATCTCACGGCCAAGTATCGCTAATTAAGAAAATGTAAGAATTTTATGTTTTTTTTGGCCATTTACTTGTGTTATTCTCAATTTGGTATTTCATTAGTTTCAATATACATATCAAGCTTTAATTATGATAGTCCGAGACGTTTTTTCTCTGAATTTGTGTCATATAAATGTCTCCCAAAATTTATTATGATCTCTCAGTGAATAAACAACTTTACGCATGATTGTATAGTGTGTCCATTTTACATAGTTCTTTTTCGCTAAATGATCCCTTTGCATATTATATATATATTAATAATATAAATATACATAGATGCATAGTATTCCAGTTAAAACTGATGTGATTATTGCTTTCTTAGTAATCAACCAACAGTATGTTTTGACGTAAATGAAAGTGCACTAGTATTACACTAACAAAGTCAATGTTATATCATTTTACCTATGATCTTGAAACAGAGTTGCGTGAAAATTATCAATTGTCGTGTTACAACATGTAAATAAAAACATTATTAATTAAGAGAAAGTTAATAGACTCTGAATGTTAAAATTCATCTACTGTTTATATATATATTCTTTCTATTGGTTATATAACTTAAAAGTGATTCAATATCTAAATTTTACCGTTGACACTACATTCAAAATTTTGAATTGATTAAAGGTTTGTGTTAACTTTTCTCAAAAAGGTTTGTATTTAACTATTTATGGTAGTAGCTATTAAGGACTAGATCTTACCTGATTGGTTTAACCAGCCAATAAATTACTATTAGTGAATTGATAAGCTTTATTAGTTTAATAACACCTTGCTTCATATTGTGCCATGTATTATATTGGACCACTAGGAAAATCCTACAAGATCACATTTAAAGTTGCAATAGCAAATATAGAAAGAATATTGTAAGTTTATAACAATAAAATAAGACTGATTATGTGAATTTTTTTATAAAATTTATATGTCAAAAACCAACACCCCACGAATCTAGGTACAAACCCAAGAGCAATCTAGAAAATGCATATTGTTTTAGCTGTCATTAGGGATGCCTATGGAGGTAATAGACATGCCACGTTTCAGAAAGCTATTTATGGAAATTTATACTATTAATTTAAGGAGCTAATGACAAGATTTGTTTGCTAACCATGTGCTTAAAGCTCTAATCGTGTTTTCGGATGGAAAAAGAAACAGAGAGACAGGTTGGACCTCGAAAGAGGTAAACTGATTAGCAAAGAACAATGGAGTATATTTTATATGTTACTCCACGTGAGTGTTTTCTGGACCGTCCACGTTGAGTGTTGATCATAAAGATTAGGATGGTGACTAGTGTCTTAATCGAGTAATTGAGAATCCTTAATTGCTATTTTAAAGAACCAAAGATTTAGGCTTAGCTGTTTAAAGATTGTTTATGCTTATAATTCACTACAGAAGGATCTAAGGAGTTCTATTGGATTTTAAACCAACGAGTTTCAATAATCAACTACTTCTTCAATTATGCATACGGGTCATTAAAAAAGGAAATGAAAATAATATTTGTGAAAAAAGTTATTAGTTAGCACCAAAATCATCCAATTATTTGGTTTAACGAAATTTAAGCTAGCACCGTAGTTCCTTTTTAGTATAAAACTATATAATTAATATACACAGATGATATTTCATATTTGGGTAGATTTGTATGAATATAAATGTTGTCATTGAAAAATATTGGTATAAATACTAATCTGCAATATAATAATTTTTTAAAAAGATGCTTTAAATAACTGTTTTGTGTAATAAGATAGATTAACTGGCTACACATCTGTTTGACAAAAAATGTTGTTTACTACTAGTTTGTAACATAACGAAGCATTATATTCTTTATAAATCATTGGTTCATTGGTTCAGTGTGCATGGACATTTTGCTTTTACCAGTGAAGGAATATATAAACATATCTGAAAGTTATTTGCATATGCGCCTTATAGTTAAAGAAGTAAGGCATCGCAGTTTTCATTTCGTGCTCAAATCAAGCCGTAACCGAGGGAGAATACTTAATGAACAAACATTGGTCTATAAATGTTCCCCAAATAAAAAGAAAAAGAAAAAAAATATGTTCCCCAAAGAAAGTTACTTTGAAACAAAACAAAAACGTGTTGGCTTAAACACAACCAATCATATAATTTAATTAAACGGGCCTTAAGTATATATTAAGATACGACTTTCCAATTAAAGTAAAGTATTGGATGTGAGAGCATACAAACACGATATTATTCCTGTTAGTCGTAATCCATTGGATAAGTTTCTAAATTATTATTTCACAGTCTACCTAACGTCTTTGTTGTGTCTATATATAGCTTTAGGACCCTAAATAGTAATACATTTGATTATACCAATGTCTGTACATAACACAAGATATCAATTTCTTTTCGTGGGTCTAAGATTTCGTATTTTTTAATATAGTAATGCATTTAAAATTGTTAATCCAAAATCTAATCTCGTTTAGCTCTTCTAAGCTTGAGCAGCCAAATAAGCACATTCAAATGAATGCAGATCTCTTTTTTTTGTAAATAGAGTCCGATAATTATTTAAATAAAACTTAATCTCAACATAACAACATGGTCATAGCTAAATCGTAGCAGTTGCACCACTCTTGGTAAGATTCAAATTTTTCTTCACTAATGGTATAGTTATATAAACCGTTTAGTACTATAGAGGTTTCTAAGAAAGGTGAAATGGTCAAGAAGCAAAAGAACGAGAATCCAAAACATGCGTGTTTTGGATTGAAATTACCCGGTTTGTGCAAGATGTAGACTCACATGTTACATTGTTTGGTCTCATTACCCAATTAGGAAATTTCTAAAGACATACGTAACGATTCCTTTACGAATTCCCCAATTCACAGTTCAAGTTCCATTGATCTGGTAAATACTGTACCAACACGTGATCTTTTTGTGACACAAACTATTTTGAGCTATAAGCAAAAAGCCAAACGGCTCTTTGTGGATAAGTTTTTGCCTCTTTGGGTGTAGTAAATGTGTAAAATACTGATCATACATCTTTAAAAAAAAAACATATACTGATCAGTATTTTCCATGGTATGTGTGAAATTTTTAAAAGATATATGATTTAAAAGATAAATGTCTTCATTAAAAATACTGATATATCTTTTAAAAATTTCGATGATAGTATTATTAGTAGTAGTAGTAGTTTTGGATGATAATCATATAATTACCTATGTATTTCTCTTGCAGAATTCCGATTTTACCTTTTTATTGAGAGTACAGAGAATATCAGATTGGCTCAACATGAACTTATCAGTTTCGAATTTTCCGGTATAAATTTTGTTCGTTTGAACTTTATATACACACTAGCAAATTCATTTGGTGTGATAGCAAAAGTTACTTGATGTGAAATATTTTCACCCAAAAAGAAAAAAATCTTGTTATTCATTTTACTTGGTTCGGTGCAGTTGATTTTGTTTCATATCAACTTATATAAAAATGAAGAGAAATCAAATAAGTTGTACATGTAATTTCCACTTTCATTTGTGAAGTATTTTCACCCAAAAAGAAAAAAAATCTTGTTATTCATTTTAGTTGGTTCGGTGCAGTTGATTTTGTTTCATATCAACTTATATAAAAATGAAGAGAAATCAAGTAAGTTGTACGTTTAATTTCCACTTTCATATGTGAAGTATTTTCACCCAAAAAGAAAAGAAAAATCTTGTTATTCATTTTACTTGGTTCGGTGCAGTTGATTTTGTTTCATATCAACTTATGTAAAAATGAAGAGAAATCAAATAAGTTGTACATTTAATTTCCATTTTCATTTTTGGTTAATCTAAACCGATTTAGATGCTCTCAAAAAGAAAATTTAAACTGAAACATGGAGGATGACGGCTATTGGAGAACAATGAATCTAATTGGTCTGAAAAAATGAGTCAGGTTCCGTGAACTGAAGGTTGACTATGCTGACTAGTATAAAGCACGTGAACAAATCCCATGTTCTTGCCTTATGTATCACATTTATTGTCCTTCTCTTTGGCATGGAATCTGATCTAAACAAAAAGTCGTTTATTTTAGTTCGGCAATATATATATATATATATATATATATATATATATATATATGGACAAGGATCAAATGGGTAATTAGACTAAAAATATCACAATGTTTTTTTTATTCACAATGTATTATAATTAGACTAAAATATCATAATTAGACTAAAAATATAATTTATAAAACATAATTTGTTCTATGAGAGTGTCTTACATATTTATCTATTTAAGCCACTTTGCTTGATAAATATACACATATATTATGTTTGTTTACAATTTAAATACCTGATAAAAATATAGAAGAAACTTATAATTCTGTAGCTTTCATTCGCTTTTTATTTCAAGATTCCTTCTCGCTTTGTTTTTATTTTCCAAACAGTTGTTTTTAAAAAATAATATATATTTCTAAAAAAAGTGTTTTCAAT